ATCGCCCGTTAAAACATGCGGACTATCGCGCGCTTCCGTATAGAGTACACCTTGTATTGCTTGATCTTCGACAAATTCGTAGGCGACACGTTCAAGGGCATCCGCATCACCAGCCACAATGGCTAGGAAGAATGGAAATTTGTCGAGAAATTCAGCGAGTGATTGACAAGTCGATTGAACGCAGACATATCTGTAATTAAGTCAAAGATGAACGAGAGTAGAGAGCGTATGATCTCAGAATCAATGGCAACTACACATTACGGTATAAAGTCTTCAATTGTTGCTTTCATGCCATTTGGAAGTGAAATACCTAAAATCAAATCCAATAATATTGCAAATTCGTTCTTAGAAATAGAGTACCCTTCTTTTCAGCCAGTTCGAATAGTGTCGAATGCCGAAAGGAACCATCGAGATGAATGTGAAGCTAGATGAGAGAAACACAAAGTCAATAGTGAAGTAGATACAAGTCTATCATCTACTTCGACCAGTGCAGGCGCATGATGACTGTGTGGATGTCGTTGATGGTGAGATGTATGATAATGATGTTCACAGGTGTCCGGGTCGATTAACGTACCTGGAAAGGATTTTTCGTCGTCGTTATCACTCATGCTAAGTACTGAAAAGTAAAAGGATTTTTTTGGAGTGAAGTTGTAAAGGCAAACAATAGTGTCATTTGTTATGTACTCGTTTGGACTTCACTCGCATTGGAATCAAGTAATAAATCGTTCGTTTTACAGTAGTCTACCATTTTTTATTGTTATTACTTACTGACTAGCTAGGTAAGATAAGATAAATAGAGAAATAAAGAAGCAAAGAAGGATTACTAAAAAACGTGAATAAGAAAATCAAAAGAACGAAAGAGCTGGCATCCGAAGACATGAGGGTGCAAGAAAAATCAAAAGACCGATAACGCATTTCAGTTTTTCAACACACTCATATGCTCATGACTATTGGAGGGCAGATTCATATCGCCTCTTTTTTTAACGACTGCACGCAGTGAAAATTATTGACTGGGGTGTGTCTCAATTGCGTACTATGCGCTGTCGCTCCTGAGTCTATTTTCTGCCAACTGATTATTCCCATCGTACAAAGAGAACAACAGTGAGAGAGAAAGAATGAGCAAGATAGTATGAGAAATGGAAGCGCAAAGGCACAGGAAATTGATAGGTGTCGAAATGCCGTATCTCTGGTGTTCGCCCTCTAACATAAGTCCACGACCACTTGATGCAGCGTCCCTCTTATCATAATGCTAGCAAAAAAAAGCTTGTTAGCGCAGCTCCTTGGGACTAAAATGTGGAACTCACATATATTTAGCTTCATAAAACTCATACAAAATACAGAAAATGTAATTTGACGAATTTTTCTGTATCATTGTTTTCTTATGAGCGCCCTATTTTTTGTTTTCATTTTCCGTAATTCATTTTCCTGCATTTAACATTTTCTTACTATATGTATTGAAATAAAGCTGTGTTATATTACGATTATATAAGGCTAGTTGTTCAGAGAAGGTTCATGAGATCATCAAAGAATCGAAGCACTCGATAAAATTTAGATTTTATGAATTGATATTCTTATCGTATCCAACATCATCTAAAACCTCTAAATCCAAATTTCAAGCATTATTTGCTACAGCGGGTGAAAATTTAGCTCGAACGGACTTTCGAGCCCTAAAAAAGTTTTGGAGTAATATGATAAAAAATCAGTCTTATGAAGTTGAGCTTTCCTAATAAGAAGAAACTATCAAAATTGTTTGTGTAATATATCAAAAGATGGAACGTCGAGAGCTGAATAAAATGATATATTTATATATGATATTTCAATCGACTGAACTTGAGTTATTCGTCAAATACTGTCTATGACTGCATATATTCGAGCTACAATACATGCCAATTTTTTATAGTATATCGCTTGCCATTCAATCATTTCATGAGATCCCAGAATGAATTTTGCATATGTTGTATAGTTTTTTCTTCTCTACAAAATGGTGTGAAAAAAAGCTAAAACAAATATACCATTGTGACCAAAAATCGTATACAATGCTGGCCAATGAGAAAGTACTTAGAGAAAAAATTATTATAAATATGTTTTGTTTTTAATGAAAAATTAAAGTTTTAGTAAATTGTAAACTATCTACAGCATTTTTCACATAAGTACGATCAAATCTAATTCATATACACTACAAAAAACATTGAATGAATACTTGTTATGAGGGATGTGGTGACAAAGGGCGTAGGAGGTTGCGCATCTCCCACTTTTAGAAAATTTTCATTTGTTGCAAGCCAAAATCTCATTTTTATTTTAGAAAAAAGAAATCATAAAATGAAAAAAAGTTAGTTTTGCACCTCCTCACGTTCAAAAAATGATGTATGCATGTTTTTAACTGTCAAGAAATTTCCTTGAGGGTGTGGGGTGTGGGTGTGGGTGTGGATGTGGATGTGAATCTGGGTTTGGTTGTGGGTATTTCACGTTAGAGCTATCCACATCCACACCCTTACCTGCACATAGACCCACAGACACAGTCATACCCATACTCACACCCATACGTTTGAGCTGAACTTTTCAGAGACTTCTATTCACAAACGGAACTATCTGTGCGCAACAACTTAGTTCGAAACACTGCTTGTTGATCTATTATATATACTATACCATGCGTAAAAATTCTAGTGAAATGCTTATAACTGTCGACAGAAAGCATAATGGTACCCATGCCTTTACGTTTTTTAATATGTTGCCGTGGTCTCCCTTGTGTCCCAAGTTTGAACTCAAAAGCGATTAATTAGTTGTAAACATTCTCTCATCAGTTGAAATTTTACGAATATTTATTACTAATTAAATTATATCTGTCGTCGAAACCTAATCATCTCATAAATAGCTTTCTCATTTTGCACTTACTTTTGTCCTACTCCAGCTAAAAGCTTGCGCACATGAAAAAACTTATTCTTGCTCTTGCTTTCTTTCGTTAATAGAGAAAAGAAAAAGAACGCAATTCTTATCTCATTCTTATTCTTTATACATACTGGACGATGTGGTTAAAACAGCTGAAATATTATACAGCCAAATACCATCGACGGTGGATAGTTATCATTGTTATCGCTTTTCTTCTTTCCATATTCTGTAACCATAATAAAGTATACAAGTAGTTAACAATACTAAATGTGGTCATATATCGCAATTATTTTGCAACTAAACGATGATAACGTTTTGTTCTGTTGTGTTACTAACTTGACAAGACCAAAAGTCACCTCTATGATATCAGATTAATAAGCATTGAAGTAATATTTCGAGTTCAAAACAACCATTGAGATACAATACGTGAATAACAGAATAAACGCTTTTGAGTGAGTTTGAATAATTAACTGTCACGATCGTAATTCCCGCGACTCAAAGAAGGGTCATACGAAATAAAATGCGTTTGTATGTATGTATGTGTCAAGGTCAAAAAACGTCGTCTGAAAGATTAATGCTCAGTTCTTTTCTACAACTACTCCTGTAAGGCTTGACCAAAGGTTTTCGGGTTCAAGGAATCGATTGGTATCATTGGCTTTTGAAAATTTTCAAATGGATCTTTTACTGAAAAAGGATTTTTTTTTTATGAAAATAATGATTTTTTATAAAGTTTGTCCAATGGAGATCGGAAGCAACGAATCCAATGGTATCATTAGCTTTTGAAAATTTTCAAATGATTATTTTCACTTAACAAAGCATTTTTTGAGAAAATTATAATTTTTCATGAAGTCTGACTTAACGGTCTTGAGAGTGGAGAACTCGGTCCATCAATCATTTCTCAAAATTAGTGAAACCGAGGATCACAATGTGGGATGCCAATTCACTCAATAATGTTCCACTCAGTCCACCAAACAACCCTTCTTAGTTCAGAGTAGAGCTAACCACGGCTCGCAGAATTGATGCCTTATTTTCCATCAAGCATTTTTTTAACGTCATTCAAGTCCAAATCGTTTTGGTTTTATTCTTTTTGTTTGATATTATCCAGGAAACCAAAACGACGATCAGTTATATTAATTTAAAAGCAAAGCTATGTAAATTTATATTTTTTGTATCTTATTTCGAGGTATTTTTTAAGTACTTCGTTTTTTGATTAATTCAAACACAAAATGATGTAATTTAAATGTAGTATGCTGAAATGGTGAAATGTTTAAGAAAAAAATTATATGTTGTGATCTAACTCATGGCCCACGCTACCGAAACCGGCAAACTAAAACTGCTTCCGGACATTTCTTGCTTTTGCTTCTCTCTCAATTAGCCGCCAGTCGAATTGAAATATTCCTAAAGTAGGATTTTTCATTGGGAAATGATAAAATAAATTTTTTAGGCTCTATCGTTAAGGAAATATTTAATTGAAATGAAATTTTGTTGAGTTTTTTTTTCTAAAGTAACGAGTTCAGAGTAGTATAAAAATTTCAAATGGTGAAATTGTTTTTTTTTCTCGATTTTTATATATAAATGCTTAATTTACTGATTAATATTTCTATATGATCGTCGATGCACTGTTACGATCGTCATCTGATGTTACAAAAGATAAACCAAGTTGAATTGGTAACATTATATTAGCAACAACAATTTTAGGGTGTGGGTGTGGATGAACTCTTTCACACCCACACTCACACATCCACACCCACACCCACACACCCACACCCACACCCACACCCACACCCACACCCACACCCAATTTTCGCGATAGAAAAGTGAGTTTTTTACTATTCGATGCAGAAAACATTTTTCTACTCAAAAATGTAAAAAAATCTAGTCTCTTACAGAAGATGATATAGTTATTAATGAAATATCGGAGACCTCTAAAGTATCTGTTGTTATTAGGGACATTGACTGTACTACTTTTTTATCTTCATTTCAAACTAAGTCGGAAAAATTTCATTCCGACATTCCGATCAATTCGGAGCACATAATGAACCATCAGTATACATAATGTCCATCAGAGGTGGAGTTAGTTGGATATGAGATATCATGTGTCCAATTCAAAACAATTCAATGAACCTCATTAATATCATCTATCCATATGCTGACATCCACCGCAAGAAAATTTCCCGATACCGTCCTTTATTTAATCAAAATGTGGAACTCACGAACTCTGGTTGTTATAAATGTCTAATTGATTATCAGAGTGTTTCAAAAAATTTATTTTCAAAAAAAGAAAGAAGAATATATCAAACCTATAACAGTCCTTATAGTTGATATACGCGCTCTGAAATTTTACTATTTCCACAATATTTAAATTCATAAGTACTTTTCTATCAATGTATTTGAGTTACTAAAATTTGTTATAGTCTAAAGAAGTCATTCATATTATCAAATACATATTCAAGGCATAGCCTCTTTTATTCTGATGACAATATATTTATGAGACTTGAAACAGTAAGTGATAGCTAGAGTTTTATTCTTCCCTTCGTTAATTCAATTATAGTATATAAATTGATATAATTAGTTAGTAAGATACCATGCACAAGACGCTCGCTATCTACAAGGATTTTGGCATACGTATATTAGTGAGCTCTGTTTAGAAATAGAATTCAATAAATCAACGATTTTCTGGGGCCGCTTCACTTTGTATTTTTTAGATTAAAAAGAGGGTCAA